GTCATACTGCAACTCAACAAAGTTCTGATCGTCGACAACTTGGGATACAACTTACTCAGCGTCAGCCAGTTAATGGCAAAAGGGATTCACTTGGAATGCGACTCGGACTCCAACGAATTTCGCCTTTACCACGGGAAGGGCGGCCTTTTCATCGGTCGCGCTCTCCTGAAGTCGGGCGTCTTCGTGTTGGATTTCGTCCCCGACCGCGGTACTGCCGACAGCGATGGCATCGTGTCGTTTGCCGCATGGACGCTCCCGCCGGATCTTGACCCTGAATTTACCCCACATGGTTTCTGGTACTCTAACACAATACCTGCAGCAGAATCGAGCGTTAGCAGTCATATGACAAGAAAGACACGTACCAGCAAGTGTCTCACCCGCAACATCACGTGCAGTACCAGCAGCAGGACCTAGTCGTGTGCCATCACCAGCAGTCCGAGGGCCACCAACTGAAGCAGACCAACTCATGCCAAATGCTACAGGAGTTTGCCGCAGTCCCGCAACAGTCGTCGCGTTCTTCTCTAACACCAGTTTGTATCAGCGCTCCCCCAGCCATCGCGCTCCCGACGACATCTGGCACCAACGCCTCGGTCACCCTGCAAATAGTACAGTACTACAAACAATCCAAGCTGGAGTATTATAAAAGGACGCTCTCCTCACAATGAGCGGACAAGAGCTTCGACGACCTCGCGCCAGATGCTTCACGTGTCCTGAAGCCGATCTTCCACACCAACCCTTTCCGTCGCATCACAATCCAAGTGCACCTGCATACGCACCGATGGAAAAGGTTTACAGCGACATCTTAAATATGCCACGAGACGACAATGAAGCAGACTTCAACTATGTCATCACGTTCATCAACGCAGCAACAAGATACGTCTGGCACTACAACCTCAAGACACGCGATCAAGCATTCGAAGCCTTCACGACGTGGCTCCCCATCGCTGAACGAGAATCAGGAACTGAACTCCAGAGCTTCCAGTCAGACGGCGCACTGGAATACCTGTCACAACGATTCAGGAACTAATTGGCGGAAAGAGGAATCAGACGCCTGGTATCTCTGCCCTACGCTCACCAGCAGCAGGGGGTCGCAGAAAGAATGAACCGAACCTTGCAGACGACGATGCGGAAGCTGCTCCTGGGGATGAGACTGCCCAACACGCTTTGGCCTGACGCGATGACCCATGTAGTTCACCTGCACAATTTGTTGTCCTCGTCATCACTTCCCAACAACGCATCATCGCACCTGCTGTGGACGGGAAAACAGGGCAGCACAAAATTACTTGGAGTCTTCGGGTGCATGGTACAGTACAGACCCCACACAGCACACGCAGGACGATTCTCTCAACGAGCACGATGGGGACTACACCTCGGCATCGCAAAACATTTCCAAGCATGGAAACTTCTCGACACACAAGACAAAAACACCGTGGCCTCACGTGATGTGATTTTCTACGAACGTCTGATGCTGCAGCATTACCTGGATAACATTGCAAACACAGAAGACCCCGCGAATGGCTTCGAGGGTCTTCGGTCCTTCGCCGACCGTGCTGCCGAGGCTGACGCAGCAGAAGAAGACGTACCTGGAGCTTCGGAAGCTGCCGGACCACTCCCTTACTGTTCCGTGCCTGTTCCACTCGACGACAACAATCCTCTTGATAGTAATAACCTCGACACCCATTACCATTTCGCTGACCAAGGTTACGTTACACCTCAACCTGTCGACACGAATGTTTCAGAACGCATCGGCCCAAACTTTTTACCTGATCCAGAAGATGGTGACGAAGCAGCCTATTCCGGGAATGAAAATTCCCCTCGACCCACACCCACGGGCCTGCAGATACTCGGATTATGGGTCTCCGTCCAGCACCCGCCGCCGCCGTTTCCGCGCGAGCCACCGACTCTGTCGCAGGCTCTGGGGGGGGAACATAAGGCGAAATGGAAGGAGGCAATGGAAAAGGAACTGAAAGCTTTGCAAGACAGAAATACATAGAAGCTGGTACCTGCAACAAACATCAACGGGAAGAACGTACTCTCGGGAAAGTGGGTGTACCGCATCAAGACTAATGCGGACAGCTCCATCGAACGATTCAAGGCTTGTTGGGTCGTACGAGGATTCGATCAACGATACGGAATCGGAAACATTCGCCCCAGTCTCCCGTCACACCTCCTTGCGCATTCTACTCGCCGTCGCGGCCACGAAGAACTACCACTGCGCCAGATCGACGTCGCAAACGCCTTCCTGTACGCACCTGTGGACGCCGAGATCTTCGTCGAGCAGCCCCACGGATTCATCGACGACCCCACAAAAGTATGCCAGCTGATAAAATCCCTCTACGGGATCAAGCAAGCTCCGCGGCTTTGGCAGCAGCATCTTCATGGCCGCCTCGTCAAAATCGGGTTCCTACAGCTGCCGCACGACCAAGGCATGTACCGACTACAGAAGGAAGGGGGTTTTATCCTACTCATCGTCTACGTCGACGACCTGCTCCACATCGGCTCCACTACCGACATCGCCATCTGGTTCGAAGGGGAGCTGAGAAGTGACTTGACACTCCCGGTGTCTGACACCGTGACCCAGTACCTGGGTCTGAACGTCGTCGAAGACAACTCGGCGTTCTACCTACACACTGGAAAGTACGCAGACGTTGTCGCGAAGAAATTCGGACTAACGCCGACTACAGTGACGACTCCCTACCGCTTCGGGAACAACAACGACACCACCGCAAAACTCCCCGCGAAGAAAATCCAGGAGTATCAGCAGAAGCTCGGCTGCCTACTATTCGCAGCAGTTTCTTGCCGACCGGACCTATCTTACAGCGCGAGCCAACTGGCGACGCATCTGAAGCAGCCGGAATAAGAAGATCTCAAGGAACTAAATCGGGCACTACTCTACTTCGTCTCTACGCCAACGACCGGACTTACCTACAGTAAAGCAACGACATCGTCCGTACAACTACTCGGATACGTCGACGCCGACCACGCGGGAGACAAGGAAAATCGACGCTCAAGGACGGGCTACATCTACCGACTAGAGCCTATCGGGACTATCTCCTGGCAGTTAAGCAAACAGGAACTAATCGCACTATCTTCGGCTGAAGCAGAATATATCGCCCTCTGCACTGCGACCAAGGAAGGACTTTACTTCCGAGAGTTACTCGAGGAAGCAAAGATTGCAACCCTGCCCGCCTTCTCACTCTTCTGCGACAACCAATCTGCGGTCAAAATCGCGAACAAAGACGGTTTCGCCAACCGAACCAAGCACATCGCCGTGCGGTAATTCTTCGTCAAAGATGAAATCACGAAGGGGTGACTTCAAATCAGTTACTGCCCTACGACAGAAATGGCTGCAGACTACCTGATGAAGAAACTGGCAAAAACAAAGTTCGATTACTGCATGCTACTGACCGGGCAGATAAACGTCACCGAATCCGGACACGGCAGCACTCCAGAAACGAAGGGGAGTGTTGGAAATATCTCGAGGACTTAAGCGTTTCTGAAGTGTAACACCACACCTGAGGAAGATCGTAACGGGTACGCTCAACGGAGGTTACACGAGGGGATGGACAAAGAACACGAAAGGACTCGAAGGGTCGCAACCGGAGATTGCGACTGACCGTTACAACTGCAAGGATGGTAACCGAAGCGACAATCGAGTCGCTGTGCGACTCGATAACCGCTCTTTCAACGGTATTCTACAACTGCTTTACTTTCCTACTTTCTATATATTGTTGTATGCTTGTTCTTTTAATCAATCACTTGCTCTCACATACTAGTGCAAGGGTTCAACTACTCAACTTCCGCTGCACTACTCAAGTATCTTGTACAACTGGGACTTAGTCTCTGAAAGATCCTAAGGGCTCTTTTCTCAGCCCAACATTGCTCAGTATTATTATCCTTGTCATTTCGAACATTTCCAATACAAGGTGTAAAATCATCCCGTGACTTTCTACTCGTTGTTCCACCAACTGTAGATCCTGGCCACCCTAAACACGTGGTTCATTTCATCAACGGAGTTCTATTCTATGTTCCCTTATTCTTTTTGGGTTGCGGAGCAACCTATTGCAATCGATCGGGCTGGTTTTTTTTCAAGTTTGTGAAATAAAAATTAAATGTTTTTTGTGATGGAAATAAAACATTTTATGTATAATAAAGTCTCATCATGAAATGCTCCGCAACCCTAGGACGATCTCGTCGCCTCTTGTTTTTTCTTCGGAGACTGCACGCAAGAGAGGCAACAGTGACAGCCAACGAGACGGGTGTCCGCCGACCTTTTTCAACGCGCGGTGGTGCAGGAACCACCCCCAGTCTGCTCATTGCTCAACGAACCATTCAACCCAGCTGACCTGGCCCCCCAACTCCCTTTCTCCCTGCTCCTCGATTTTGTTGCCAACGGCGTCTGCTCTGCCCAACCTACCAGTGAGGGCGGATCCTGCGTCGTGTCATCCGACGATGTCAGACGCAGAAAGACACCCGAGAAAATTAGGTTTTGCCAGTGTCGACGATTGAAAGTGCCAGCCTTGACTGAGAGCAGTGAAATCTGTTAATTAAAGCGAGTAGGCAATTTTCTCAAATGGGAACAAACAGAAACAAGAATTCTGCCTAAGTTGTCGTACTTTCGTTCGGAGGATTGCGAGTGCCGCAGCGCGTTCCTTACAAGTCCGCGAACTCAGACGAGCCATGACAGATTTTCGTGAAACACATAAACGGTTCGTTAACGACGATTAAATCTCATTAACGCGTTTTTGTTCGTCAGTTCGTTTGCGCGTCAGCACGCGACACAAACAATCGCACATTTGACGGAATGATCGACATGCTGTCAGCTTCGGAAGACCTTCCCACAATCTCGGAAGACACTCAAATTTTCCCACGACACGATGACACTAGCGGTTGATATGACGTAGGAATACTCCCTGAGAATGAAGAGGGCATCCAAGTCCTGCCCTCAAAGCCAAGCCTCTGCTCTGCGCCAGCGCGTTCCACAAGGTCGCGTCGAGTGCCGGCAGTCCTTTCTGAAGCCTGACTGGGTCGAATTCCTTCGAGCTTTGCATATTCGTTAGGTCAACAGAACAGCACAACGAAGCGCACCAAAATCACAATGGGCAGCATTCGCACCTAAGCCTCCTTCTAGGCGAAGTTCGCGCGGGCGTCAGCTTTGCAGTAGTATCAACGCACCCACTTCTCGCGCCATCACAGCCCCACAGGATCTTCCTATTAGGTCCCACTGCCACGTGCCTCGTTTCCCGCAATCACACGCCACACAGGGCGTTTCCACTCGAGCCACTTGCTAGGACGTCACGCAACCAGGAGTCGTGGAATCATCATATCCGCGCTGCCGAAGTCACAGAAAACAACACGTTGTCAGACATTTAGCTATTTTAAGGTGTCTCTCGACGCCGCTTTTATCAACTCCCCAATCAGACGACGCTCTCGATCGTCTCGCAAGTCCTCGGAAACACTGTTCCGTGCGGTTCCCTCAAACCCCGCTGCACTCTCGTCCCTAGCCGCCTCCGAATACGCAGCAATAGAATCCGCTAACAATCCCACCCACTCCGCTGTCCGCTGTCACTGCCGGTTCGCCGTCGTCATACACTGTCAACTTGACGGCGTGAGTCAGCTGCTCGCATCCACGGCTGCCGTTATCTCGTCGTCCAGCGCGTCACCTCCTCTTCAATGGCGTCCACCTCTCACCTCGCAGGCTGCTACTCGCCCGTTCAGCCGCCGCCGCTCCGTTCTTTCCTCGCCGCAGGTACGGCCTCCGTTCTTTGTTCTTAGATAGCAACAGCGACGTCACATGGCTTCAGGCGGTGCCGGCCTTTCACAGGGAGGCACTTGTTCCGGAGCGTATATTCGATGCAATCCCGCTGGTTCCTGCACCGGCAGCAGCGTCGGCGCATGCAATTCAGATGCTGTCAGCGTGATCCCAGCTACGCGCATACCGCTTGCCACGCGCATCATCAGCCATGGACAGTAGTCTTATACCAGCTTCTTGACGTCGTGCATCTCTTTGCGCTTCTTTGTGCCCTGCAGCCCGTCCATTGCCGTCGCTCTCTTCATCTCTACCGTCATCTCTTCCTCCTCTTGATTTGTTCCCCGCTTCCGTATCCATTGCCCCCCCTGCCAGCTCTGGTGCTTTCCCTTGGCTGCATAGCCCCAGCCGTCGCTGTAGAGCACGTCACCGGCAGCACCAGATACTGTGAGTGAGCTCTCCATCACGCACTGAACGCATCACCGTGCCACGTTCAAGCATCATTAAGTAAGATCAGAAGCCTCTTTATGCGCATAACCTATTCCGTGCCATGTCTTTCTCACTGCGTTCTTGGCACCCCGTCTCTCCTGCAACTCGCTGCTACGCTTTCCTCCTCACCTGCCCCCTTTCCTTGTTTCTAAGAACAATCTCTTGTTTCACACTCGTTCCATCACATGCATCCAACGCCCTGCACGTTGCGGCATGCAGATTATGTGTCATCCAAGACCAAGGGCGTTCACCCTTCACCCTACACTGGCTCTTTCAGAGTGTCCGTAAAAATGTAAGACCCGCTATCGCCATGGCAGCTGGCCATTCCCACACCAAATAAAATGTGTGTGTGTGTGCGTATGAGTGCCCGTTAATTTGGTTGCTTTTCTCCGAGTGTCCTCCATCGCCCGTGCATCCTGCTATATATTTTCCCACCGTTCCCCTTATACTTCCTTCCTATTATGCTTCCCATCCCCACTTTTGGCTGCCTCCACCAGGACTGAGTTCTCGCAGCTGGTCCAATACACTCTCCGAGTGTTCGGCCTGCCTCAGAAGCCCAAAGCCACCTTCTCTCAAGTCGGCATTTTCAAGGGTCAAGAGTCCGCCACAGGTCCTCTGGTGGCATCCTTTCCCTGCAGGATGCGCACTGTAATCACTGGATGGGTTTGCTTCGGTGAGGCCCGTAAGCCCCTGGATAAGTCATGGACCCCCAAGTTCAATGCAGCTGCTCTAATCAGTGGCGGGGTGTATGACACACCCGGTAACTTCTATGTTTCTGTTACGTACAGTGGAGCGACCAGTGCCTCTGGTGGATCTAATGGCACCATAAGGGGACAGTTGGTGGGCTAAGGATTGGTTGGCAGACGCCAACCACAGAAACTCCACCGTGCTTTCATTCATGGCCTATCCTTCAGTGCCGGCCGGTTTCCTGCGCTTTCTAAGTCTCAGGTGAGGTGGCACCTGTTCGGCTAAATCTGTTGTGCTTGGAATCACAGCTAGTTTGTTCTTTCCATGCATCGTTCGCTCTAATTAGTGTGAAGTAGAAATTGATATGATGATTGAGCCCCCTTTATGGTTTGATTGAGTTCTTGTTGGGTTCATATCATTTTCAAGACGTTGGACTTAATTATTTAAAGCCCTAACAAACCCTTGTGATTCCTTGCCGCTGTCGACCAGGTAGCAACAGCAATCGCCTGCAAAATGATAGCACCACATCAGTCACTAACGGAGCCTTGGGTAAGTTGTGCCGAGCCTATCCACAAGCTAAGGCACTGTATATGCCCGGCGCGAAGCCTTCTTGCCAGATCACCCCTTGGGAGCGTCCAGCGAGTCCCTTGATGCCACGTAAATAGATCTGGTTCGGGAGACACTTTGAAGGGAAATTCCCAACCAGGGCTTACCTTAGGGTTTTTCGTCCACACGGCAGACCCGGGTATCTCTTTCGTGGGACCCAGAAAGCGGGCATATGTGAAACGATACTCATCGAAATCCGGGTAAGAAAGAAATGGCACTGCAGTCCCGGGATTTTTCCGTGATGACAAACGCTCTAACGAAAAGTTAATGGGTTCTACAAAGGGCACCACGTTAAAGCACTCCTCTCCGCTCTTATAATTCTATCTCTGGAACTTTGTTGCTGGGCTGATTTGCCCTGGGGGGAGGGAATGGAGGGAGATTCGGCAGGTGGGGCGGTGTGAGAAGTCTAGTATTCGTGTTTGCCAAAACCTGACACTTGCTTCACGGGTTCTGGTCGAAACATACCCATGAGAATACGGGATTGTGAAAATCGAACACGTCGCAATCCGATTTCGCTCGAAAAAGCACCCGTTATTTTGTCAAAATCCGGGTAGTTTTTCTTGACAAATAAGCCCTGCTCCCATCGGCCGATGTTTGGTTTGAGCCAGGCACAGCTCAACCAAACCTCCACGGCCCCCTGACCTGGATTTTTCGCACCAGATTTTTCCAGAGCACCCATCCCGAGCCTACACTCCGTCGCAGCAAAACGTGACTACAGTGATGCATCCTGCAGTGCTGCCTGCCAAACCAACCAAACCAAACCAAACCAACCAAACCAAACCAGACCAACAAACGTCGTTTCACTCTCCCTCTCAACAGAACTCAGGCCGTCCTGCGGCCCTGCCCTCCCTCCTCCCTCCCTCCACCACCCCCTCAGTCATCGTCACTCTCTGGGCTGGGCACTGCGGAACAACAACACTGGGCTGTGCTGTATTTGTTCAGTTTCCAGCTCCACATACTGTACCCCTCGGCGAGGCTGCTTGGAGTGGAGGAGAGCTTGACTGTGTTTCCTTGTCCACCACTGAACATTTTTGTGGAGGGTCCGTCGGTCTTTTTTTTTTCCACCATTTGCGGCGGAGAAGCTCCAGGCCTCAGGAAGCTCACCCTTACTCTGCGTCAGTTTGCTTTGCTCGCCTCGCCATTACGAACCGCGACGGTGAAAATCCTCTTGCCGACCGCCCTTGCTCGAAGGAGGAGCAGCAGCAGTAAGCCAAACCGAGCTAAGACCGCGCAAAGCCACCGCATCGCGTATCTTGCGCCGTCTATCATCCAGCCTCAAAGCCACCGCCTTTCTGCGCCTTTTTATTTCTTCCCCTCCTCCATCCGCGTCGTTTCCTCTCCCCACCTTTTCCGCAATGGGAGCTCAACAATCCGCCGCCAAGGGAGTCAAGCTGCGTCGCCGCGGCGCCACCGCGGGAGCTGTTACCGCGGACGAGCTTAACGAAGCAGGCGTTGACCTCGCGAAAGCCGTCGCGCAATCCTCCAAGATCCAGGAGCTCGCGCGCGCACAAGCAGGCGCGCAGGCTGGCGCGGCCGTCGCCGTCGTCCCCGCGAGATCCGCAGCTGCGGGAGGAAGCTCGGATGCGCGGAGGAAGACGCGCGCGTCGTCGACGCTGGACCTGCCGCCATGGGAGGTGGTCGCCAGCTTGACGGAGGCCGACTGGGTGGCGCTCCGCGCGTGGATTGAGGCTGGATGGCGGTGCGCTCGCTCGCTCCTTTACTCGCATCGAGATCTGTGTTTCTTCATTTTGTTTTAAGTTTTTTTCTCGATTATTTTGCCTTTTCTTTATTTTGTCGGCTCAGCGAAAGCTTTCGGAGAGCTTACGCCGTGTGACGCTGCTGTCGTTTGGGCTCGGGTACTTGTTTCCCCGATTTCCTCGCTTACCCGTATCATTACTTACTCATTTATCCATTTCCGTATCAAGAAAGGTCACAATCGTCGAGTACACTCGTCTAGCCATTGGAAAGCTAACCTAGCAAACCACATCTTTATTCTACTTTAAAGTGTTTATTATTTCTCCCCCTCCTCTTTCACCCCCCCAACTTGCCGCGCGCCTCTGCCCCTCTCCCTTCCCCCCCAATAGCTGCCGCAAGTGCGGTCACGTGCGCGACGACGGCAACGAGCATCCCAAGGCGGCGCAGCTGCTGCAGCGCTGCGGCATCCACCTCCCCAAGCCCGGCACAGCCAGCGGCACGCGCGCGGGCGGCGCCAGCGCCAGCGCCGCTGGGTCCGGCGCCGGCTCTCCCGCTATTAGCGGCCGCACGACCCCGTCTACTACCACTACCGGGATGCATGCTATCGAGTACGCTTCCGCTTCCCCCGATAACCAAGTCGGGTATCTTTCCGACACCTCTTCTCCCAACACTTCCCGCACGGGCTCCCCGCAGCGGGACTCGCGCGGCGCGCGGAGGAGCGGCCCCGCGGGCTCCGACACGTCGCACGACGCGTCCCCGCGCTTCCACGGCGGGTCCCCGTTCGGGGGATCCGATGGGGGAGTCTCGGCAGGGGGAGCGGGCGGGGGGGCGGGGACGACTGCGGCGAATGTTCTCGGAATCGAGGCGTGCCCCCACATGCAGGGGAAGATGATTGCGGGGAGCGACCGCGCGAGCGAGATCGACAGCTTGAATTCGAGCTTCAGGGAAGAGACGGGGAGCACGCGCGGCATGGGGGGAGTTCCGCCTGCCGGCGGCGTGCGGAAGGGCGGCGGGGCGGCCTCCGGGGAGGCGCTGCAGCGGAAGCTTCTGTCCGCTATTGCGCGCGCGCACCAAGTGTACTTCATCGATAAGGTGAGAGATTGACTTGAGGAGCCTATATTTTAAGCGCCTAAAAAACTGACTTGGGGATGGGATCTAGACCGTTCATCCATCGGTACAGACCCTACAGTCGGATCGGTTAGCAGCTAACTCTGCCACTAGACAAATGCGCGAAACTGGTTAGCAGTGGATTGTAGCAGAGAAACCCGTAGGAAGACGGGACAGCGAAGATGACCGCAGGGAGGCGAGAAAGAGACAAACCGCGGGAGGGATGCGGTAACTGCGCAACGCTGCGGTATGCGATGACGGATGTCGGGGACTGGGGGGGTGGGGGACTGGGGGGGGTGGGGGAGGGGGAGAGGGAAGGGGGAGAGGGGAGGGGAGTGGGGGGGGCAACGGATAGGGGAAAGGTGGAGTTTGATCCGACGCAGAGGACCAGCTGATTCTCTAGATTTTCCAAAATAGTCGCCGTATCTTTAGGAACGGTAGGGCGGAGGAGGGGCGGCGTAGTTTATGACTTTTATTTTCCCGTGTTTTGTGTTTTGGGCTCTCGAGGAGAAATGAATGTTCTGCGCTACCGGCGCTCCCGAAAAAGAATTTTGTTAAACCGGTTATTCCCAGAAACAGGGGATTGGTCAGTTTCATTCTGATGTCTCCTCACCTCTCCCCGCGCTCCCCCTGCACCTCCCCGTGCTCCTCCCCCCTCCTCTCCTTTTCCCCGGGCTCCCCTTGCCCCCCTGCGCCTCGAAAATTTGCGTTGACCGCAGGAGCCGAACGGCACGCTGGTGTTCGACTTCCTGCTGTCGGCGCTGCTCGACGTGACCGCGTCGGGCTTCGGGTTCATCTCGTCCGCGCTGCTCAAGGCCGACGGCACGCCCTACCTCAAGGTGCCGTACAGTACAACTTCAGTACAGTGAGGTGCAGTGCAGTGCAGTACGGTGCACTAGGAAATTCACTAGTATGACTTGGCGCATGGGTGTAGGGCTGTGGAAAGGAGGTGCTGGTGCACTAATGGTTTTGACCCTGCATTATGGTACTAAGAAAAACGACCCTGCAGAATGGCTCGCAAACTAGTTGCAGGAAGACGCCCTTAGCAAGAGTGTAGAGAATGGATTGGGTACTAGTGCTTGGGTGCAATTTATGGAGAACTAAATCAACGAAGCAGGGAAGGAATAAAGGCACGCGAGACTCGGCTGTCTCCTCCTGCGAGTCTTCCAACGACTATTCGCCCTTGTGTGCTGCATGGACAACAAGAACATGAGGACTGCACACACACTCCTCCCTCCCGCTTTCCTCCTCTCTTTCCCCTCTCCCGACCGAACCCCCACCATCCCTCTCCTGCCTTCCCTCTCAAGGCGCACGCCGTGACGTCTTCCTTTGCTGGCGCTAAGCTGCTACGCTCCACCGCGCTGAGCACCAGAATCAAAGGCCTGGTGCCTCTACACGAGCGCTCTCCAAGGCACACTGGTTCCCACACAATAGCTCCCTGCCGTCCCTCTTTCCCCCTCCCCTCCCCCCCTCCCCCTCCCCTTTCCCTCCCTCCCCGCGTCCTCCAAGTGATTCGCTCCCCCCGGCCAAACTTCCCCAGCCAAAGCCACACCAGACCCACGCGATGACGAACGTTGCAGAGACCAAGAAGCTCCGCGCATGATGCGCCGCGAACGCACACGCGCACGCGCACGAGGGCCAGGTGCTCACGGGAAAGAGCATGCTGCACGGCACCGTCGCGTCGCGCTGACACAATCGCTCTCGTCCTTCACCCCTCTTCCGCTCCCTCGCTGCTGCAACCACAGACCCAAGCGATGACGAATGTTGCTTGGACCAAGGAGCCGAGGGCGTGGTATGCAGTGAACGCGCACAAGGGGGTGGTGTTCACCAACATGAACACGCTGCACGGCACCGTGGTGCTCACACACACACACTCTTCCCCCCACACTCTTCCCCCCTCCTGCCTCTCTTGCTCCCACTGCCCCAACGTACAGACCCACGCCATGACGAACGTGGCCTGGACCAAGGAGCTGCGCGCATGGTACGCGGCGAACGCGCACAAGGGGCTGGTGTTCACCAACATGAACACGCTGCACGGCACCGTGGTGCTCACGGGGCAGGCCGTCATCACCAACGACGCCGTCAACGACTCGCGGTCCCGCGGCGTGCCGCCCGGCCACCCGCCCATTGAGACGTTCATGGGCATTCCGCTGTACACCGGTGGGTGGGGGGGGGGGAAGGAGGGGTGGGGAGGGGGAGAAGGGGGATAGAAGAAGTAGGGGTGGATTATTGGGCGGATCGTGCGTGCGTGTGTGTGTGTGTGTGTGTGTGTGTTTGTGTGTGTGGAGGAGGGGGGGGGGGTGTTGGATCTGTGTGTGTGTTCCAGGGGAGTGAGTGGAAGATGAAGTGAGAAGTGAAAAGGTTTTCTCTTGATTCTTCAACCCTTCTCCCTCCCTCCCCCCCTCTCCCAACCACGCCAAGAAGGCATGGAGCTGATTGGCGTCTCCGGGCTGGCGAACCGCATGGATGGAGGGGTACGACGAGCAGCTGGCCGAGAGAGAGCCCCTCCCTCACCTTCTCCATTTCCCCACCCCTTCCCCTTCTTCCCCCTAAACACCCCCACCCTCCCCCCCCGTCCCAACCACCCACGAGCAGGCATGGAGCTGATCGGCATCTTCGGGCTGGCGAACCGCATGGAGGGCCGGGACGAGCCGCTGGCCAAGGAGAGAGAGAGAGCCCTTCCCTCTCATTCTCCGTTTCCCCTCCCCTCCTCCCCCCCCACCTCGGTCCCGCCAACCCACGAGCAGGCACGGAGCTGATCGGCATCTTCGGGCTGGCGAACCGCATGGAGGGGTACGACGAGCAGCTGGCCAAGGACCTGGAGCCGCTCACGCTGACCATCGCGCAGATGATCTACGCCGTGAACGAGCGGAAGCGGCGCAAGGAGGCGGAGCTGCATTTGTCCAGTGTGGTGCAGGTGAGAGGGGAGGGGGTGGTGCTGGGCAGGTGAGTTGAGAGAGATTGAGCCGCTGATGCTGATTTTAGTGCAGACGATCAACACTGCACCAGTGCGGCGTGTTCATGCTGCGCTGGTTATCACCAGCCCCCACCAGCCCCTTGTGCGCGTCAGGTAAGAGTTTGTGTATTGTATGGATCAAGGTACAAAATACGGCCGTTTTTTTTCCTTTTGAGACCGTATGGTACGGTACCGAATTAAACGGCCGTATAATACGAATTAAAACGGTTAGAATTTTTTTATTCTTGGTTAAAAAAAAAACTGCCGTTTTTTTTCAAAAAAAAGAAAAAATACCAGCGAAATGTCCGGGTCTGGCATTTCGCCCGCCAATATGGGCGGATCTGGCGTCTCGCCTGCTGAAATGTGCCGGATCCCGCCTTTTTTGTGGAAGAAGTGCGCGGATCTGACATTTCGCCCGCCAAAATGTGCGGATCTGACATTTCTCCGGCCAAAATGCGTGGACCTCGCGTTTTTGCGGACGAAATGCGCGGATCTGGTGGACGATTAGGACTTCTAAAAAAAATACACCTGAAACGCTCTATTTAAATTCGGCGTTTTTTTCCTAAAATCACGGAAAAAAACGATCGAAAAAAACCATGGAAAAAACGCCCTGCCGAAATTTTGCACCCTGATATGGATGCTACAGCACAGGAGGCGCTCATGTGGCGCAACATCTGAATCCACATGCGACATGCGACATGCAGCGCAGAAATGGAGCGAAGTGAGCCCGTAAACTGGAAAGAGAGGGGCGATAGTCGTTGAGAAGTGGAACAGGTGTAACTCTTCCCCCCCAGATCGCAAACGTGGGCATCATGTCTCTGTCCCACAAGGGGCACGTGAGTCCATGAGGCACCTGCCTCGTGTCTTCCCTCTGCCTGTCCCTATTTCAACTCCCCCCCCACCCTCTGTGTGCACCTTCGTCTCCCCCACCAGGTGGCGAACGAGGGCATCATGTCGCTATCGCACAGCGGGCACGTGACGTCCATGAACCACTCGGCGCGCGTCATGTTTGGCTTCGCTGCGCCCGGCAGCGAGCAGTCGGAGGACGTGCCGCCGCCCGCCAACCTGCAGATCACGGACCTGCTGCTGGAGGTGGACGGCCATGCTAACTTCCTGAGGGAAGGTGAGGCTTAGTGTGTGGGATTGGTAGTGGGGAAGAGGGAAGGAAGGGGATCTTGGACGTCTCCCCGCTTGCCAACCTGCAGGTCAAATGTCTCCACCCCTTGCTCTCTTCTTCCTCTCCCCTCCCTCTCCCCACGCTCCTCCCCACTCTCTCCGCCAGGTCTGGAGCACCACGCGGGGCACGTGCACTCGGAGCAGGGCCAGCGGCATTTGCTGAGGAGAATGATGTCCTTGACTCTCTTTTCTTCCCCGTTTCCCCTCCCCCCCAGGTCTGGAGCACCATGCGGGGCACGTGCACTCGGGGCAGGGGCAGCGGCAAGACGGCAGTCTGTTCCCCATGGAGGTGTCGATCAGCAAGGGCACCTACGACACCGTCTTCTATGTCGCTGTTGTCAGGGACGTCTCGGAGAAGCTCGACTCCTCCCGCAAGCTGCAGGTGTGTGTGGTGGGCGGGGGGGGGGGGGGGGGGGGGGGGAGGAGAGGGTGGGGAAGAAGGATGAGGGGGGAGGGAGGGGGGGAAGATTCGGAGGATAGTGGGTGCAGGCTTAGTTGGGCACTAACGATTTCTGGAGTTTCGTAATCGTAATATAACGCGATCATTTACGATTTCGCTAACGAACGGTGACTAACGCGTTAGTCCGCGCCGGGCAGGTAAAAAAAATCTCTGAGAAAATTTCTGGTTCATGATGAAAGTTCTCTAGAGAAATCTTTGGGTCAGTCAGCATGCAACTCAGAATTAGGGCAGATCAACGAGATGGGGAGCTAGCAGATTTACACGTCGTGCTAGGGGGTGTTAGTGAGCTGCGACTTAGTAGCTTGTAGGTTTAGAGAGCAGTCGTAGTGCTCGCGGTGAAAGTTAGGAAGGAACGGTAAGATGCGAACCGAGAGAGAGGGATTGGGGGAGGGGGAACGTGTTGTGCAAGGGAGGGCGTGAGATGGGTTGCTAAGGGGGGTAGTTGCGTGGAATGTGTGGAATTCCGCGATTCTTGGTTACATTCTGGAATCCGTGTCGGTGGAATTTCGCGGACCAATAAGAACACGAGATTCCAACCACATTGGAATTCCGCGCGGAGGTTTCATTCCTCCGGACAAGCCTCTGCCGAATTCCTCCAACACGCATTCCGACGTGGAACTCCAGAGTCTTTGGAATTCCAAGTCCTTGGAATGGCGTGTACCAGAAGTACACGAAATTCCAACCACACAAAATTTCGCGTGGGCATTCCATTCGTCGAGAATTTCGCCACGGCGGAATTCCGCCAACAGTAAGTTGATGGAATTCCAACGAATCGAATTCCGCACTGGAATTTCAAACCTCTCGTGCACTCCAGGGAGACTTACGCATAGAATTGCGTGGCGTACAACCCACGCATTTCTGATCCATTTTCAAAATCGCCAAGTCGCCTTCAAACGCCAGAGGACTGAGACGAATCTAAATACCTCGTCATTAGTTTCCTGAAGCCACAGATATCTGCAACCTAAGCTACTTTCACGTCCGACTGCCTCCTAACTTCCCATGGCGTCTACTACTAATGAGCACCCTGTGTGGAAGTACTTTCTCGTGCCTGAAGGTTCCGCATCGAATGCAACTATTAAGAAGTCCTGTAGATTCTGCAATAAACAATGGTCCCTTACCGTTAGTCGAGCGCAGGGGCATATTCTTGGGAACGACCCTAACATTGCCGCATGCAAGAATGCCCCTCCGGAAGCGAAAGAGACTCTACGTAAGGTAGTATCGGAGAAAGCGAGTGGGCAGGAGGCAAAGAGGATAGCCTCCCAACGGACTATGGACGCTTTCACCAAGCAAACAAGTGAAATCGCCAGTAGCAGTGCTGGCGGCTCTACATCCCGCAAGCGGCCCGGGGGACAGCTGACGCTCCAGGAATGTCGTCCCGAAACTGCAGCATTGACAAGCGCGCAACAGGCGGTTGCTACCTTTTTCCACGTTTGTCGTATCCCTCCCAACGTCGCCGAGCACGCCGCTTTCAAGGGCATGTTGCGGAAGGTGTCTGCTGCTGGGATTGGCTTCCCACCACCAGGGCGAAAGCTCATCATGGGACGCCTACTGCAGGATTGCAAGGCTAGCACGGACACAGCCCTGAAACCGGTGAAGGAATCATGGATCTATTTCGGTGTGAGCATTGCGACTGACGGGTGGACGGATCTTTGTAGCCGTCCCCAAATGAATTTTTTGGCGGTGAACACCACAGCGTCGGTCTTCTTGTTCGGCGTGGACTGCGGAACGAAGAAAAAGGGAGGCGATTTCATTGCGGAGCACCTCAAAAGAGCAATCACTATGGTGGGAGCCGGCAATGTCGTGGGGTTGCTAATGGACGGGGCGAGCCCTAACATTAGTGCGGCCAACATCATCAAAGCTACCTACCCGAAGGTGCAGTACATCCGGTGTGCAGCTCACACCCTGAACAATCTAATGAAAGACATCGGGGGGCGGAAGTGGGCGGCACGCATCATCACCAAGGCGCAGGATCTCATCTCCACTCTGAAGAATGCGCAGTGGATCACTGGTCACTTCAGGGAGCAGAATTCTCTCGTGTTGCTGAAACCCGCCGGCACTCGTTTTGGGACAAACTATATTGCACTACAGCGTCTACTCGATGTGCGGAAGGTTCTTGATCAAATGGTGCTTTCTTCAGGGTGGCGTGCTTTTGCGCACGGCAAGGAGCGGATGACCAAGGCACGCGAGACAATCAGGGATGACAAGTTTTGGGCTGGAGTTGAGAAGGTGGTACAGATTTTGAAGCCAATCTACATGCTTCTACGTGCAGTCGATGGAAACCAGGAGGTTATGGGGAGGATCTATGAGATGATGCTCGACTTGGAGGAGTCCACCAAGCAGGCATGCAGCTGCTTGAAGGCGAAAGAACGGCAGTGGGTTGCGGGTGCTGTGCGTCGCCGCTGGAACGAGAACATCAATTGTGCATTGCACGTGGCGGGGCGGATTTTATATCCACCGAACCAATATGAGAAGATATTTGGAGCGGGGGGGGATGCTGAATGCTCGGGAATCTTCAAGCAGTTTATCGCAGACTACTACAAGGGGGAGTACACTGTTGACAAGGATGGGACGAGGGTTTTGATGGCTACAACGGTAGAGAAGGAGATTCTCATCTATGTGAAGGGGGAAGGCGCCATTGGTGAGGCTAAGGCACGTGCCGAGCATGAGCTCATCAAGGCTGGTAAATTGGACCCCACTCATTGGTGGGAGTTCAATGGTCATCAATGTCCCAACCTCTCCAAGCTGGCTTGCAGGATTCTTAAGCAGTGCGTGTCTGCTTCGGCATGCGAGACGAATTGGGGGGTGTGGGAGTCCATCCACACAACCCGACGTAACCGCCTAGGTCCTAAGCGCCTCGAGGATCTAGTGTACGTGACACACAACTACCACACAGTGTGCAAGTTGCATGAGGATTTTGAGAAGCGTTTTCGGAAGGAAGGGCATGCGTCGATTAACATCGACGAGCAGCAGCACGATGACTACGAGCCGCTTGACGACGACGACATTCCAGAGGATGCATACTTTGAGGAGGAGGAGGAGGAGGAGGAGGAGGAGGAGGAGGAGGAGGAGGAGGAGGAGGAGGAGGAGGAGGAGGAGGAGGAGGAGGAGGAGGAGGAGGAGGAGGAGGAGGAGGAGGAGGAGGAGGAGGAGGAGGAGGAGGAGGAGGAGGAGGAGGAGGAGGAGGAGGAGGAGGAGGAGGAGGAAGAGGAGGAGGAGGAGGATGTAGAGGGGGAAGAGGAGCAGGAGGAGGAGGAGGAGGAGGAGGAGGAGGAGGAAGAGGAGGAAGAGGAGGAGGGGGAGGAGGGGGAGGAGGAGGAGGAGGAGGAGGAGGACAACGAGGATGACTAGGAAGAGAAGTAAAAGACAGTTGGAGGAATAGTAGTAGTACCCCTATATGTGAGAGCTTGTGTGAGTGAACCAATATGTACATGTTCATGTACGTCACCTTATGACTCCCTTCTGTTTTTTTTTTTTTCGGGCAGCTCCAGAAAAATTTCAGCCTGACCGTAAACGTCAGTCCAAAACGGCGTCACCGTTCGTAAACGTAAATAAACTACGTAATCGTTCGAAATCGTAAAACACCGTAAACGTTAGATCCAACTTAGGGTGCAGGTGATGAGCAAGGGGACGTATAAGAAAATGGTAGGTCCGACTGCATATGCCAACGGATCTAGCTTCTAAACTAAGAAGTCTACAAGCAAGCGAGTGAAGACAGGGGGTGGGTTGATGAGCTGGCATCTCCACCTCACACGCCGGCGTGCCATAGAGGTTCCATCACTGCTCGCCCTTCATTATGCTGCCGTGCACGAGGAGGGGCTGTGACTAGGCATGTTCACAGGCCGGGCCTCCGGCCGGCCCGGCCCGACCTGCACAGGCTGGACCGGGCCGAGGCGGGCTCGGGCCGGGCCGGCTTCACGAGTGCGAGATGGAACCCTGTAAGCCTCACAAGGAGCCCTTGCATGCTGGAACACGATAACCCGCTCAACCCCCCCGCCCCCACTCCCATCCCTCCCTTCCTGCCTCCCTTCCTGCCCTGCCCATTTCGAACGCTGTGCATAATGGATATATGTGTAATGGGTGCGGGGTATGGGCCGTGTGTACGGCGTGCAGGAGAGCGAGGAGCGGTGGAAGTACGCGCTGCACGGCAGCGAGCTGGGCGTGTGGGACTGGAACGTGCGCGACAACACCCTCGAGCTCAGCGACCAGTGGAAGGCGCTGCTCGGGTAAGCAGCAGGGGCGGATGGGGTGAGAGATGGGGTGAGATGGGGTGAGATGGGGTGAGATGGGGTGAGATGGGTTGAGAGCTCAGGGATGAGCGAGAGGGGCATATGGGTTAGAGGGCTAGCTTTTTCATGAGGCAGTGAGTCGTAGGGGTGGGCTGGGAGAGGGCAGTATGGGCAGAGAGGCGGCTATTACCGTGCACCAATGAAGGCTTGACGGCTTTGTTGTACCCATTCCCTCACTCTCTGGCCCCCCGTCCTGCTTGCTTCCTTTCCCCCTGGCCATCTTTTGCGCAGAGCTGGATGCGACAGTGCAGGCGTGGAAGGGTCCACTGCATCACTCTGCTTACCCCCCCCACCCCCCCCCCCCCCCTCGTCCTGCCCCCCACACAAACCTCCAACCCCTCCCCTGCCCCCCACCCCCCCCCACCCCCCACCAGCTACTCGCCGGACGAGCTGGAGGCGACGGTGGAGGCGTGGGAGGGCCTGCTGCACCCCGACGACGCGGCGTCGGCGTTCATCGACCTCAAGGCGCACCTGGACGGCCGCACGCCCGTCTTCGTGCACGAGCAGCGCCTACGCTGCAAGGACGGGTCGTACCGGTAAGGACGGATCGTACCAGCAAGGACGGGTCGTACTGGCAAGGACGGGTCGTACAGGTAAGGATGGGTCGTACCGGCAAGGACGGGTCGTACCGGTAAGGACGGGTCGTACCAGTAAGGACGGGTCGTACCGGTGTTGTGGTGGGTGTTGTGGAGTTGTATTTTAAGTCGATCCGTCTTCGCGCACAAGCAGCTGCCGCGCTGCAAGGACGGGTCGTACTGGTCTGAGCATTGTTGGCTGTGGTGGTCGTTGTGCTGGAGGGGACGAGAGTCAGTCAGATGCTGCATCTACTCCTCTTTCTCCCCTTTTCAGTGGGCCGCTGCGCGCTCCTTGTCACCCTTCTACCCCTCCTGTTAGCTGCTGCACTGCAGGCAAGCGGTACGCGGTAGAGTGAGGGGAAACAGGGTTCCGCTGCAGTTTGCCACTGACTTCCCTGACCACTCACACCATTCACGCCCGTCTGCCTGCGCACTTCTCCTCCCCTCTCCCTCCCCTCGCAGTTGGCTGCTGCACCGCGGGCAAGTGGTGGCGCGAGGGGAGAGCGGCGAGCCGCTGCACTTTGTGGGCACGCATGCGGACGTGACGGACCGGAAGCAGACGCACGCTGCTGTCGTGGCCGCTGACAGCGCTAACGCCCGCCTCAGAACTGCCGAGGCTGGTGAGAGGGGGGGGGGGGGGGGGGAGAGTGAGGGGTGGAGAGGGTGAGGGTTTGTCGATCTGAGGGAGAAGGGAGGGGGGCAGAGGGATGGGAGCTGGGTTGGGGTTAGTTAGAGGGGTTGCCCTGTCATTCTTCTTCCTTTCTCCGTCCCCCCATCTGTCTTCTTCCCTTGTGGGTACTTGATCGTTGCTTTCCAATATCGGCCCTGAGATGCCATAGGTAGGGATATCCTGAGAGGGATATCCTGTTTGTTTTATCATAACGAAGTTGGAAAGTGATGGAGGGTGGGATTAGACATGGGTATATCGCATCGCATCGCGTTTTATCGCATTTTGCGATTGCGATTTTTATTATTATTATTTTAATTAAAAAAATTGCAGCGATGTGATGCGATAATATCGCGCGATTTTTGCGATATCGCGCATTTATCGCGGTTTTTTCAGCGCGACAAAACGCGATATGTTATATTGAAATATCGCGCGCCATACATCCGCATATTGCGTCACGGAATTGCGCCAGAAAGGGGGGGGAGCATGAGCGCGGGCCCTGAACTTAGCAAAATTTAGGGTTCTCTGATTGTAATGGCGTGCGGAAATTGCGCGCGGCTGTATGGGGTTGGCGTAATTGACTGGGAGGTGTTTGTGAGGAGCTTGGAGAGGAAGGGTTGGAATTTCTAGTTGAAAAGGAGTGCAGCAAGGTGCAAAAAAACGGCGTTTTTTACTTTTTTTTTACCGTATAAAACGGGATTGTATGAAACGGCCGTTTAATACGATTAAAACGGTCAAAAGTGGTGTTTTCTGACTGGTGCAAAAAAACGGCCGTTCTATACGGTCGTTTTTTTCATACCGCCGTAAAAAACGGAAGTTCGCTTTATATCGAGGAGGGTGAGGAGGAGGGCGACTAGAGCAAGGAAGGGGAGAACTAGGGCAAGGAGGAGGAGGACAATTAGGAGGAGGAGCAGAGCCGGAGTAGAGTCGGAGGACTAGGAGGAGGACAACTAGGAGGGTGAAGGAAGGGCGAGAAAGACAATGAAAGCAGGTCTAGGAGGACGAGGATGGTGTTTTAGACGCACGTAGGCTGTCGCCGCTCTGTTTCCCAGCAGTTTTTTAAAGCTAGGGGTGAAAAAAAAAAAAAAAATCTAACAAAAAAACGGAAGAATTTGCATAAATCTGCCGTATAGAACGACCGTAAAAAACGGGCCGTTTAATACGGAAACCGTTTTTTTTTTGCACCTTGGAGTGCAGTGCGGTTGAGGGAGGGGAGATGGTTAGAGGTTCAAAAATTGACATGGGCGGTGGTGGATGGAATGTGGTGGTGTGCGGTTAAAGGGATTTAAGGGGTTGATTGCAATCTCGACTCCCACTAAGTCAATTGGTTGGAACTCCAACCAATTTCCACCACTTCAACCGCACTAAATCCCTCCGCATGTACAGAATCCAACCCCTGCCCCTCTCTAACACGCTCTACATCAGAGGGGCCACGATATCTCATTCTCCCGTCAAACTTCATTCACCTAATTCTCCGCCCACGTAGGAAAGCCGGACTTGTCGTTTTTCTTTTCTCCTCCGACCCCTTAATGCAATGCGATGTTAAATCGCATCGCGCGATATATCGTTCTTATGGGTGCAATACTTTTTAACATCGCACCCTAAATCGCGATATGCGATTTCAGTTTTTGAAACAGAATATCGCAGCAATGCGTTATCGCATCGCTGCGATATCACGCGCGATATGACAAAATACGATGCGATATCGCATCGCATCGCATTTTAACCATGTCTAGGTGGGATAGGGGCATGCAATCAGTCACCCTTCTCTGTTAGCCTTGCTATCCCTCCCTCTATCTCTCCCTTCTCCCCCCATCCACCCCCCACCACCACCTCCCCCCTTCCCCCCTTCGTACCTCCCACTCTTCCAGGTCTGTTGGTGAAGCTGAGCCATGAGGTGCGGGAGCCCATTATGAGCGTGCTGCCCTTTCTTCTCAAGCCACCGGTTTCCTCCAGCCGTCATCCTCCACCCCCCTGCTCCTTGCCTCACTTTCGTTTCCTCAACCCTCCAGGCCTGTTCGCCAAGCTGGACCATGAGGTTCGGGAGCCAATCACGAGTGTGCTGGAGAGCACCAAGGCGCTCAAGGATGCGCCGGAGCTCACTGACGAGCACCGGGCGGCAGTGAATCAGATCGAGGAGAGCGGGCGGCAGCTGGCGTCTGTTGTGGCAGACGCTCTGGACAGCAGCATCATTGAGGCAGGCGGCTGGACGCCCAAGCTGGCACTCACTACCGTGGCTGAGGTGTGCGGGGGGGGAATGGGGGAGGAGGGGGGGTTGTGTGTGTGTGTGTGTTTGGTGGCTGCTGTGGCCGAGGTGGGTGCGCTCACTGTGGGTAAGGGCCTAGAGGGCTGGAGGCGAGTGCTTGGTCGAGCATGTGTGGTGTCTGCAAACACGTTGGTTCATTAGAATGGCGCTTTGTGGTATCTTCTGGGATTGTGCTTTGGGTGTGCCCGTACTGTCGGTGTCCTGGTGAGGGAAAACTGCGTTGTTCGTCCCTCCCTCTCAAGCCTGCATTCCTTACAGCATTTGCAGGCAGACTTCGCTCTAATTGCGGAGAGGCAGTGGAAGCCAAGGCACCTCTTCTGCTGCACGTTGAGCCCACTTCACCTGATTCTCTTCAACTTCCTCCTCCTCCCTCCCTCCCTCGCCCTCCGCCCTTCGCCCTCCTCTCCTCTCCCTCCCCCCTCCAGATGGCGGAGGCGGCAGCGGAGGCGATGGCGGCGTCAGCGGAGAGCAAGGGGCTGGAGGTGGTGGTGGACGCATCGCCCGACGCCCCGCCCTTCATCCTCGCTGACTCCACGCGCACCCTCCAGGTACTGCATGCTGATGCTCCATGCAGGTGCTCCATGCAGGTGCTCCCTTCAGGTACAGGCCCCACACGGGTTCCTTTTCCAAGCATATATGCAAGAATGGCAGCAATATTGCTGCGATTCCTTCCATTGTTACTATTCTGGAGTTTTGGCCAACTCAAGAATCACCAGCACCTCCCCTCCCCCCCCACTTCCACCTTACGCGCACACCCAACACCCACTCATCCAGGTGCTGGTGTCTCTGCTGTTGCTGGCCATCCAGTGCATGCCGTGCAGCTTTGTGCGCCTGCGCCTCTACAAGGAGTTCCCCGCTTACTCAATCCACACCCCCCACACTCACACACGCACACCCCACCCACTTTGCCAGGTACTGGTGTCGCTGCTCTCCCTGGCCATCCAGTGCACGTCGCGTGGCTTTGTGCGGCTGCGCATCTACAAGGAGACGCCACCAGCAGCAGCGGGCGGCAAGTCCATTGTGCTCGTGGCGTCCGTGGAGTCCCCCGCAGCTCCCGCTGCTCTCTCCGCTGCCTTTGAGGCCAACCAGGGAGGCCTGCTGGCGGCTAAGATGGTGCGTGCTTGCGTTGCAGTGCGTGCTTGCGTTGCAGTTAAGTTTACAATGGACCTGCCCCTTTGCCCTGCTCGACGCACCTGCATTCTCTCCCTTGTGGTACCCCCCTCCCTTGCTCTTTCCCTTGCCTTTCCCCTGGTGCTTTCCTCTTTTTGCTTTCCCCCCTTCCGCTCCCTTCCTACTTACAGCTGGTGGAGGCGATGGGGGGAGCCATCACCCTGGTGTGGACCTCACCCGCCCCGAATTCCAGAGCGCAGCAGTGGTGCTGCGCCCCTCTGCTCCCTCCAAAACACCCGCCTTCCCACCTCTCCCTTGCGCTACCCCCTTGCACTCACCCCTTGCACCTTTCCCTTGCCTTCCCCCCTTGCTGCCCCCCGTTCCCTTTCGCCCCCCATCCCACCCATATCAGCTGGTGGAGGCGATGGGGGGAGCCATCACGCTGGTGGCGGAGCAGCACCGTGTGCCGTCCATCGCAGTCAAGTTCCCCGTGGACCTCACCCGACCGGAGTTCCAGAGCGCCGTGGTGCTGCGCCCCTCTGCACCGCCCGTCATCGAGCAGCCGCTCCGGCAGTCGCGCGTGCTCGTGGTGGGCGCGCTGCAGGTGAGGGGTGGATGGGTGTGTTGGCAAGTGTGGTGGGAGTATGTGGGGCAACAATGCAATTCCCTGTGCCCCCCCCCCCGTCATCGAGCAGCCTCTCCGCCACTCCCCTGTGCTCGTGGTTGGCGCGCTGCAGGTGAGGGAGGGTTGAGTGGGGAAGGTGCTTGTGAGGGCTGAGTGTGAAGGTGCAAGTGTGTGCATACGTGTGTGCGGTCTGCCAAACAAGCCGTACGGAAAGTGCGGTGACGTTTATCGGAGCCGTTCGTAAGAATGCACGAAGAAGGTGAAAGGCAATACCACCAACCTTATTGCGTCTTTCGACCTCCACTTCTTGCTTTCTCCCCACCTCTCCTCTCTCCCCCACTTTCTCCCACTCGCCCCCTCTACCCCCCTTTTTTGCAGGTGACAACAGCAGCCATAGCCAAGCAGCTGCACGCGTGGCACGTGCCCCACAGCACCAGCAGCAGCACGCCAGAAGAAGCCTTCCTCTCACTCTTCCCCGCACACGCCCTCCCCCCAGTCATGACCTCCCCCGGCCAATCCCCCCCCACAACCTTCCCGGACGGAACCCCCCGCGACGGCCTCTCTCTAGACTACGACCTAGTGGTAGTGGACTGCTCTCAAAAGAAGCAGGTGCAGGGGGACCCGGATATGCTGGCGGTGCTGCAGCTGCTGGCGAGGGACCGCGTGGGCGTGGTGCTGCTGCTGAGCCGGACCGTGGCGAGGGACCCGGGGTTCAGGAAGGAAGTGGAGGCGGCTGCGGACTGGCATGGGCAGGCGCCCGTGCTGCTGGCGAAACCAATGGTGAGGGGTGGAGGGGAGGGAAGGGGTAGGGGAGGGGATGGGACAGGACAGGACAGGATGGGGTGAGGGGGGAGGTGTTGAGGGGAGGGATGTAGGAGCGTACTTGGAAAGAGAGATAGAATGAGACGGTCTGAGGCGTGTTGGAGACCACCGTGAGCGAACATAAGGGAGGGGAGGGGCTTTTCTTTTATGTGTCTTGTTCCTCTTGCTTCAGGTGTTTGTTAGAATTCTAAAAGAATACCTTAGCTGTCTCATTCCTGCCCAAGTATGCCCCCATTGTCCTTGGTGCTCCGTTATCCTTGGCCCTTCTGTCCCCCCCCTTCCTCCACCCCCTCCAGCCCAATCTGGCACCCGCCCTCCCGCTTTCTAGTCGTGCCTTCCCCCCAGGTGTGCCCCAGGGCTCTCCTGGAGGCATTAGAGGACGCGCTCCACCTCCCCGACAACGACCATGCGCTGTCGGACCTGCGGGGCGCGGCGCTCTCCTCTTCTCCCTCCCATCCCCAACTTCCCCACACTCCCCCCTCCTCTCTCCCTCCCCTCCCTCCCTTTCCTCCCCCCAGGTGCGTCCCAGGGCTCTCCTGGAGGCATTAGAGGACGCACTCCTGCTGCTCCCCGGCAACGACCACGCGCTGTCGGACCTGCGGGGCGCGGCGCACGACAGCGAGGAGAAGGACAAGCAGGCGGCGGACCAGGCGCTCAAGGAGGGCAAGGGCGCCATCGAGCGGGCCACACAGGGGGGCGCGCTGCAGGGCCGCGCACTCGTGGCGGATTGCAACGCCGTGAGTGCCTGGCTGTCCGGCTGGTTTGTTTATTTCCTGTTAGATCGGGGGGTGGAGTGGAAGGGGGAGAAGTGGAAGGGGGAGGAGGAGAGGAGAGAGGGGGGAGGGGGAGCAGGGAGGGGGGGGTTTTAGAGCAGGGCTGCGCGGGGGGGGGTTGCTGCAGGGCCACGTTCTCGTGGCCGGCTGCAATGGAGTTAGTGTCTTGCTGCTTCTCATCGAGTTCTGAGATATCCCAGCCTGGCTGTTACACCGTGTCCCCTTGTTCCCCTCGCCCGCGTTTCCCCCTGCTCCCACTGTCCCCTCTCTGCCTCTTGACTCACAAGTCACTTTCCTGTTCCGCCCCTGTCCTCCTCTCCCCTCTCCCCTCTCCCCTCTCCCCTCTCCCCTCTCCCTTCTCCCCTCTCCCCTCTCCCCTCTCCCCTCTCCCCTCTCCCCTCTCCCCTCTCCCCTCTCCCCTCTTCCCTCTCCCCTCTCCCCTCTCCCCTCTCCCCTCTCCCCTCTCCCCTCTCCTGCGTGCCCTCAGGCGGATCGCAGGGTGGCAGAGCGGCTGTGTGCGGCCATGGGGCTGGCAGTGGAGGGGGTGAGCTCGGTGGTGCGAGCCATGGAGCGCAACCAGGCGGCGGGCTTCGACCTCATCCTCATCAACACGCAGGTGCGTATACAATCGCACGTGCCCATGGGAACGCGGGTGCTTATCTGGTCACAGCTGCTCATAAAAGCAGGGGGTGCTTATCAACACCCAGGTGCTTACTTGGTTCAGGTGCTTATTGGCGCTCAGGTGCTTATTGATTTGTCACGCCAGGTAGTCTGGTAAACGTGGGTGTCTTTCGTGATTGCTCTTTTTTCTTCCCTGTGGTTTCTCCCGAAACCGTAAACCCTATGCCATTGCCTGCAGCTGCCTGAAGCTCACTTCGCTTTGGTCTCGCCCCATTTGATCGACAAGCCAAGTTTCACTCGTTAGGCCCCTAGTCCCCATGGCCAAACCCCATGAGGCCCTGCCTACCAACCTACCAACCTAGCCATCTGCAGATCACGAAACCTTACCCTTCCTCTTTTGTCTCCCTTTTTTTGTGTCCTTCCACGCTACCCCCTGTCCACGCTACCCCCTGTTCGCGCTATCCCCTGTCCGCCCCGCCCGCAGATGCCTGGAGTGGACCTCCCTGCAGTGCTGCAGGCCCTGCAGAGCGACCACCGCCGACGGGGTGCCACTCGCGCTCTCATTGTCGTCGGCCTTGTAAGAAGCTCCTTGCCCTGTCTGTGCCCAGGCTCTGCGGGACCTTGTAAGTAACTGATCGCCACATCTGTACCCTGAGACTTTTCTGTTTTGCAGAGAAGCTAGCCACGTCACTTCCTAGCATTGCCTGGCCTACTCACTAAATGCTTCTCCACCACGCCATGCCATATGCCCACCACGCCATGCCATATGCCCACCACGCCATGCCATATGCCCACCATGCCATGCCATGTTGCCACCATGCCATGCTGCCATGCCATGCTGACCATGCCAAATGCCCCTATGCCATGCCCGTGCCCATGCTCGACTGTCCATCCAGTGCACAGGCCTCGATGAGAAGCAGAGGGCTGCTCACCTTGCAGAGGGTCTCTCAGGTACCAACCAACCATGCACATGCACATGCACATCCTCTTAGTGTTCGTCTTTTCCTGTCGTCCGCTCCTGTAGTCTCCTTCGGCTGCTAATTAGTCTCTCTTCGCTCCACCCCAAACCCCCCCCAACCCCCCCAAAACCACCCCACTCTTTCCCTCCCCCCCCCCGCCACAGAGGCTCTGCCCAAGCCATTTACCATTGGCGCACTGGAGTCTGTTCTTCGCTCCTTCCTGCCCCCGCAGTGATGGTAGCTGCTCGGGACCGGGATGAGAGGAGGGAGGATGCAGTCAACAAACATATATTCTGTATACAGCTATCTAGTTAGTTTAGATATGTTATAGCCTAGTTAGATCAGTTCTTAAAGGAGACAATATTTGTACTTGTATCTCCCCTCCCCTCAGAGTCACTTTCCCCGTACTCGAACATGGTATTGAGCTAGGTTAGATTTTTTCCCACTGTTACTCATGCTTCTGTTGCTGTAGACTCTTTTTGCTTGTTTCCCTCTCAAATCCCGTGCCCTGTAGACATGAAATTCCACCCCCCTAACGTTGCCCTTGTTTCGTACGCCAGCCAGCCAGCCAGCGAGCCACCTAGCCACCTCGCTCGCCAACCAGCTAGCCAGCCAGCTAGCTTCCTGCCTCGCCCACGCCACCTGCGCCAGCCTGCAGTCCCGCCCATAGCCTTCCGTTTCACGCCTGCTGGCCGCCGCCAGCCTCTGCTCGCCCCTCGCGTGTCTCGCCAGCCAGCTCGCCAGCACGCCAGCCAAACGCGCCAGCCAGCTCGCCAGCATGTTAGCCAGCTAGCTAGCCAGCTGCTTTAGCCAGCTCGCCGCCAGCAGTGCTAGCCAGCTCGCCGCCACTAGCGCCAGCCAGCTAGCCACCAGCAGCGTCCGCCAGCTCGCCGCCAGCCGCTGCTGCCAGCTAGTCGCCAGACAGCAGCCACCACTGCAGCCGCCACTGCCACTGCAGCCACTGCTGCTGCCGCTAACGCCGCAACTGCTGCTGCCTGTGCCACTGCTGCTGCCTGTGCCACTGCCGCTGCCGCCGCTACTGCTGCACCTGCCGCTGCAGCCACTGCCACTGCCACAACCGCTGCAGCCGCCGCTGCCACTGCAGCCACTGCCGCTGCCGCCACTGCCGCTGCAGCAGCCTGCGCTGCCGCCGCTGCCACTGCTGTAGGTGCTGCAGCCACTGCCGCCGCTGCCCTTGCAGCCACCGCTGCCCCTACTGCCCTTGCAGCTGCCGCTGCAGCTGCTGCCCTTGCAGCGCCACTTCCGCCGCTGCCCTTGCAGCTGCCGCTGTCGCCGCTGCCCTTGCAGCCGGTACTGCCGCCGCTGCCCTTGTAGCTGCTGCTGCCGCTACTGCCCTTGCAGCTGCCACTGCATCTGCCACTACAGCTGCTGCCCTTGCAGCGCCACTTCTGCCACTGTCCTTGCAGCCGCCGCTGCCGCTACTGCCATTGCAGCTGCCGCTGCAGCTGCTGCCCTTGCTGCGCCACTTCCGCCGCTGCCCTTGCAGCCGCCGCTGCAGCCGCTGCCCTTGCAGCCACAACTGCCGCCGCTGTCCTTGCAGCTGCTGCTGCCGCCGCTGCCCTTTGCAGCCACCACTGCCGCCGCTGCCATTGCAGCTGCCGCTGCCGCCCCTGCCCTTACAGCTGCTGCTGCTGCCGCTGCCCTTGCAGCTGCTGCTGCTGCCGCTGCCCTTACAGCCGCCTCTGCCGCTGCTGTCCTCGCAGCTGCTGCTGCCGCCGCTGCCCTTGCAGCTGCTGCTGCCGCCGCTGCTCTTGCAGCGGCTGCTGCCGCCGCTGCCCTTACAGCCGCCACTGCCCTTACAGCCGCCTCTGCCAATGCCACCATTGCAGCTGCCACTGCTGCTGCAGCCGCCGATTCTGCCGTCTCTCTCCCGCTGCAGCCGCCACTGCAGCTGCTCTTGCTGCCAGCAGCCACTGCCACTGCAGCCGCTGCTGCCACCACTGCCGCGGCTAGCCTGCAGCCGCGCAGCCGCCTTAGCTAGCCAGCTCGCAGAGCCGCCGCCGCTAGCCCGCTCCCTACTGGCCCACCGCCGTCGCCACCCCGCTGCTAGCTAGCAGCCGTCGCTGCCACCGGCTCCCACTGCAGCCCCTGTCCCTGCTGCCCCTGTAGCAGCTACCCCAGCTGTCCCTGCTTCCGCCGCCTCTGTCTTCACGGCCGCAGCTGCCACCACAGCCGCCAGCATAGCGTCGCCCAGCGTCTTCGTTCTGCCCCTGGATGGGGAGGGGCGGGCAGTCGGTTTCGCCGACTGGCAGGAGGCAGTTCTCCAGCAACTCACGAGTCAGTGCGTCGACCACGAGTCCCTGGACGCCACGTCACTGGTGAGCTTTCTGCTGTTCCCTGCCCGAGTGCTCTTGCTGCTTACACGACGTCTGCGTAGCAAGCTATGCACGCTGCTGCTCGTACTGCCTACTCAGTCTGGGCGTCTCGCGACGCCACTGCTCGTGTCGCCATCCTCAGGTGCTTGTCGGTTGACGAGCACTCCCACTTTATAGGTGGTGCGTCACCTCACGCCCTCTGGCTGGCTATCCTCGCTAGGTTCTCCACCCCATCGTCTGCCACTCTTGGTCATCTCCTCCTCCCTTTCTTCTACCCTGACCTGACGTCCTTCACCACTGTAGCAGACTTAGTTGAGCATTTGCGCTCCCTCGAGGCCCGCTGGCTTGTGGCCAGTACTGAGGCCCAGCTAGCGCTCGCCCCACCCCCCTTCTTCGCCACTATCTACTTCCTTGTCACCCGCCTCCCAGACCGCCTAGCCCCTGCAGCTGCAGTAACCGTGGGGGCTGGCAAGCCCTGGGGGTGGTGGTCATGGTGGAGGCCGTAGGGGTTGGGCTCCACGGCAGTCGGTGCCCTAGGGGTCCGCATGGCTCTTCTATGAGGCAGGGTGCTAGTGGTTCTGGAGGTGCAGTGACCTGCATGTACCAGTTGTTGACCGTCCTGCAGGCGGACCTGCATGTACCAGTTAGTGACCCTCTTCCTCACCAGACCTGAACCCGGATATTTTTCCCCACCAGTCACGACTACTTCGACTGCTGCACCGCTCAGAGACATACGGATCCTAGCATGATTCTAATAGTGCAAGGATGCACTGTCAACCGTGCTATGTTACCCTAAGTTTCGTGGCAGATACGCAATCTTTCGCCACTCTGCTCGTAATTTTTACCTACAACGGTGCGATGAAGATGATCCATGATAAGACGAGACCAATCGACTAATGGCATCTTTGGCCACACCTCAGCATGGCTAGTCTTAGAGATAACATTCAACATGAAATCGTGCACAGTACTCTTGCATACGTTCAAATACTTCGCGATTTTCCTAGTGCTCACCCCCTTATGCAAAAGCGTGGGTCCAGGAAGAGTGCGAGAAGATCCCTGTAAAGGTTTGCACTAACCTCGTAGATAACATGCCTAGGAGGGTGTAGGTGGTGATCAAGGCCAAGTGTCGGTTGACTAGGTACTAGTTTTGCTAGTAACCAGTTTGCTGCCTGTCCCCGGTACAAATTGTCCGGATGTGCTGTTATTAAATGTTGTCGTCTTGAAGGACCATGAAATATACTACTCTGGTTTTAGGAGATTTGAGTGAGTGCTCTAACTGCTCCTCTCTACGTGTATGGCCACCATGAATTAAGGCTTAATGTTTATAGCGTACAGCTCGTCAAAATATGAAAATATGCTAAACATGTGGACAATTGTTTCCGCCACTGTATCTGGGCTTGGAGATCTCTCGTGACCGTGCCGCTTGCACGATCGCCCTCTCCTAGTCCCATATGGTGCAGCGTGTCCACCAGAGGTCAAGTCTCCAGTTCTCTTCAGCACAGCCCACCCCTCTGCCTGTGGATCAGAGGCTCTTTGCTCCTGTTCTAGCTGAGCCAGTCAAGGCTAGTGATCCATACGCAAAGCTGGTGGGGTGCCTCATGTACCTGATGACCTGCACTCGACCAGATCTAACATACCCACTCAGTCCCTTGGCTCGCTTTGTTGCGACAGGCTGGCACCGACCAATCCACTGGTCGGCTGCCAAGAAGGTACTGCAGTATCTAGCGAGTACATCAGGACTGGGGCTTGTGCTAGGAGGATGGGAGCCAGTGGTGCTCAGTGGACACACAGACGCGTTTTGGGCTGGCGACTTGGAGACGCTCAAGTCTTCTCATGACGTATCCTAAGTCATACGATACTTGCTTGTACTTGTTGTGATATACCTGCATGTCTTGTTACTCTTGTTGACTAGCCTTGTGGCCTCTTGTCTTAGTGGTCAGACTAGTAGTGGTGCCCTGAGGTGTCTTGCTACCTTCACCACAGGCCAGACTAGTAGTGCTGCCTTGGTTTGTTAATCTCTGTCGTGTGTGTCAACGAACATATATTCTGTATACACATATCTAGTTAGTTTAGATATGTTTGTTCTAGCCTAGCTAGATCATTTCTTAAAGGGGACAATATTTGTACTTATACCTCCCCTCCCCTCTTCCTAGTCGCACTTTCCCGCTACTCCATGTAGGGCATGAGTGGACGAGGCATGAGAGGGTGGGAGTTTGGGAGCTTATGGGCAATAACAGCAGGGTGAACTAGTGAGTCGTAGTATCGTGCCGGGAAATCTTCTCAGTTGTTGTTTGGGAATGGATGCTCTGGGATACTAGAGGGGGCTTTTCTATGTAGGACTTATGCACAATAGTATTCGTTTCACTTGATCCTAGATGCAGCCCATTTGTACTGTACAGTCTGAACGTTGCTTTATTTTATTTCATATGACAGACCATTGCAGAGACCAGGGCAGGAGAGACCAGCGCTGATTGGACCAGGGCAAAACGAAACAAATGTCTTTCCTAAGCTTTGCAACATTTCGATTCATATGCAAGCATGTTGTACAGGATACCGAGGGGCTGCTTGTGTAGGGTCCAATCAGACCTTCAAGTAGTACCTGGTAGTAACAAAATAACTAGAAACAAGGCAGTACATGAGTGATATAGGGTTGGTATTGTACCCTCTAAGAACACAACCGTATCTAGCCTATAACTTCTACATATAATGCATATGTATGAGTTGACACACCCCGTAGGCTAGATAAGGGCCAGTGCCGAGCAAGAGAGACGCAGTTCTGGGCGGCAATACCTGTGAGGCAAGGGTCCGAAGACCAGTCAGCAAGAGTACACACTAAACAAGAGTAACCCAAGGCGGCACAACTATTCCTACCACTAGGACAAGAGCCACAAGGCTAGTCAAGGAAATATAAGGAGTAGTACACAATCAGGGTCCTAGCAAGGGAGGAGCTACTGAAACTACACCAAGCTATACGTAGTGCCGCTGATGATCTTTATGTGCAAGTGCCTTAGTAACGATATCAACTGCATTGGCACTAGAGGCCAAGTGTACTACGCGCGCCTGGTGGCACTGTTGTAGCTCATGCAGGAGGAAGTACCGCAGCTGGATGTGCTTCGCTCTGCCCTCTAGTCAAGGCTCCAGACACATGAGGATCATGGCCCTGTTGTCAACATA